TAGGTATAAATATATATTGGTTCGAATTTTTATCTGTTTCAAGAGATCTAAACCGATTTGGATCGAATTCGGGCAACCGAATAAAATTTTTACTCCATATTCGTGTAAAAGGATTTAGAGTCAGATCAAAATCTAATTCATTGACAAACTTACCCTTAATGAGTTAAACATGTTATAATGTGACCCTATCATTAAGTTCCTCTGTTCATTATGTCAATGTCAATGGAGTGGTTTTTGATGAAATGAGTCATAGAAACTAACAAGTCAAATTGTAATACTTTTAGGGGGTGTTTAGTTTGAGGGATAAAGGGGGATAAGGCAAGTTGGATTGGGTAAAATAATCCAAGGGCTCACAATGTAAAACCCTAGTAAATTTGAATTTTTCACAAAAAGGGCAAAACGGTAATTTGTTGCTACGGTACGGGTTAAAAAATTAAATTTTTCTAGAACTCGGATGATGAAACGGACCTCACCGTTGGATTCGTCCCACGAAATCTAGCTACCTTGTCAAATTTCATCAAATTTTGAGATAGCAAAATTTTTTACGTTTTACGAGGCGATCGAGTTTCGGGTGAACCAAAAATAAAATTTTTAATAAGTTTTGAAATTTGAAAAATAATTTGAGGTAAGTTAAAATAAAAATATTTTGAACTTAAATCAGGATAAAATTTAATCGTTTTGAGGCAAAAACGGACTCAGGAAAAAAAATGATCATGTGGCGTGTTATGGACCAAGTGTTTTGGGAGTATAAAAAGGGGAGAAATATGATATTTCTCTTCTTTTGTTCAGCCGTGCACCCAATAGGGAGAGAGAGAGAGGAGAGAAAAAGGGAGAGAAATCCATTTCTTTCTACGATCTATGGCCTTTATGGTGCTCAAATCAACACGGGCCAAGAACAAAAGACGATCTTCTCAACGAGGGCTACGCGGCTATACCAAAAAGAGTAGGTTTTACCGAAAGTTCCAAGGACGAGATTTGAGGAAATCAAGAGTTTGGACTTGGCTGACATTCTTGAAGGTTATACCATTGGTTTTATGCTTCAAGAAGTAGGGTTCCTTCCTACTTTGGTTTATTTTCTAACCTAAGGTGTTATATGAGATGGGTAGGTTGTTAGAGACTTAACACTTACCATGTTTGTGAAATTAATGAAAATGGGTATTGAAATGGTTTGAAATAAATTTTCTAGCTTTGAATTAAAATGTGGAAATTACTTGTGTAATTCAATAGAATTTGATATTATGTGGGCACGCTATGTGTTTATATTATGTCTTTGTGATTGGAGTGTTTCATGGGTACGTATTATGTAATAACATGCTTCAGATATATTATTGGATATTAAATGTTGATGTGCGTTTATTGACACATTAACATTATGATAAAGTTTGGTGATTATATGCATATGATATAATTGACCATAAAATATGTAGAAATGTAGTTAAACTTGCTCATGTGACATTCATTACATATGGGCATGACATTAATATAGCAATGGTGCATTACATTACATTTGCACGGAAGAACCGCATCCATAGCCATGAGTATGAGTGTGTGTGCATGGTTGACATCAGACACCACATATATGGATAATTGGTGGGCTTGGGAAGGTTGAATCGAAGATCTAACTGAGTCGCACGGTTGCATGAAAAAAAAAATAGAGTCGGGATTAGCAAGAAGGGCTAGACTATCCCTTGGGTGAGAGACCCAGTGATCGGATACGCACTATGTTGGTGTAAGAGCCCATAAAGTGTGTCGATGTACGCGGAACCATTGGTAGAAGTCCATAAATTCCGTTTCGGTTGGGTGCCGTTGGTGGAAGTCCATAAAAACCTACCCCAAGAAAGACCTGGAGATATTTTTTTAAAAATAGTCATTGGGTGTGTAACGCTAATGGCGGGGGCTTGGAAAACCCGGTGTTATACTCATAATATTGCATGGGTGAAAGGAGCCAAGAAGGGCTCGAGTTGAAACGCATGAGTGGGTGTCATCGCATATCATGACATGACTCGTTAGATTCTAACATAGACTTGTTTGATCTTGATTGGAATTGTTATTGCTTGTTAAATGTTGCATGAACATTTCATATGCACTTAGTTTAGGGAGTAGCCTCTGTATGAAATACTCTATTGGACGTGGCTCACCCTATACGAGAAAATATTTCAAGTGCGGGATACACGCTGGAGGAAGGCCCTCACATGGGTCCTCAAGGATGAAGAAAGTCGGGATATGGCTTTATTTTGAGTTTTTGTAAATGATTATGAAAATTTTGTTTTTGATATTTAAATTCATGGAATTGAATGTAATAGAGTTTGTATGGACTTTGTGTAATATGAAAATCTTCATATACATATGTTGGATGGNAATGTAATAGAGTTTGTATGGACTTTGTGTAATATGAAAATCTTCATATACATATGTTGGATGGAAATAATATGTCTTGAACTGAATTGAAAATGAAAAATAGGTGAAATAGGCAAATCTGGGCAAGACCTACCTGTAGGACCTATCGATAGATCGTTGTCCAGTGGGCAACACCTACCAATAGAACCTATTGGTAGGATCGCGTACAGGCANGAAAAATAGGTGAAATAGGCAAATCTGGGCAAGACCTACCTGTAGGACCTATCGATAGATCGTTGTCCAGTGGGCAACACCTACCAATAGAACCTATTGGTAGGATCGCGTACAGGCAGAACTTTGTTTATCAGGAAAAACCTACCGGTAGGTTCTCCAAAAAAAAAATCTACAAATTTAAGACTACCTTGTCATGCTTTTGGGCTTTGGATTCTTTGGTTCCAAGGTTATAAATGGACATCAAATGAGGATAAATATTGGTATATTGGACCTTGGTTAGTCAAATAGTATAATGTACATAGGTTACACGTGTGAGTGAAGATTCCGGTTAAGGGGATGCTATTGACGTAATGTCGGGTTGTGCGACAATCATGGGTACTTCCGTGGGTTGATGGGTGGTCAACGGTTAAAATAAAACTCCCGATTTTAGGGGCGTCACACACAAAACCCAACTTTGGATCCACAAAATAGAGTGAGATAATAGTAGGCTTTGAATACATCGGGCCATAGAGATCGGAGCCNCCCCGATTTTAGGGGCGTCACACACAAAACCCAACTTTGGATCCATAAAATAGAGTGAGATAATAGTAGGCTTTGAATACATCGGGCCATAGAGATCGGAGCCCAATATCCCTTTTGAAGCAGATATGTGTAACCCATGGAGCATGTGGGATTCAAATTTTGTTGATAGGATTGATCATTTTTTTATGAAAATACCCTTGTAATTGATTAGGGTTTTACCTTTTTTTGTCCGCCAATTCATTTCCAACCCACTAGTTTCACCTCTCTCTCTTAATGGCACACGATGGAAGAAGAAGCAGATATGCTTCTCTCCCTATCTATCTGCAAAAAATCCTCNGGTCTCACCTCTCTCTCTTAATGGCGCACGATGGAAGAAGAAGCAGATATGCTTCTCTCCCTATCTATCTGCAAAAAATCCTCATTTCTCTCTCTATCTACGAAAAATCCCCATCTCTCAAACCTTTCTCTGCTACGCCCCAAAATCGTCCTTTGCCTTGCAGGTGTTAGAATCATCATCGTGAACGACAAATTTCTTCAATTAATCACCGGTGTTGGGGGGCTCTTCAATGTCTTCACAGAGAGGAGTGGCCAGTTACGTCGCTTACACTCGCACTTCTAGATTTGCAATTTTGTGCCCAATTATTTCTTAGTCACAGTAAGATAGGAAGAATTATACTAGCAACCCCATGAATTTTGAGAAGGTCAAGACATATCTTAGTGATTCTTAAATTGTGCATGTGAGAATTTTGAAGGAGCTTATTTAATGGTGTTTTTGATAGAAGACAAATTGGTTGCTTTGAGAGACCCATTTGGGTTTATGCTATTGTTTATGGGTAGGAGGAGCAATGGGGCCACTATGTTTCATTTGAGACGTGCATTGCGGCTATTATGGTTTTGTTATGGATAGGTTGGATTTGTCTCTCTCTCTCTCTTTCTCAAATATGTTTTTCTGACGTGTAGGCCATGTTCGGAGATGGGCACAATGTTTTTTACTGTTTAAAATATTTGTTTGTGTTTTTTGTTTTTGTTCTCTCCCCTCTTTGTCTCTGTCTGCATTTGAAGCTTTTCCAATTTTTATCATAAATTATGTGTTGTAACAAAAATAAGAAATTTAAAAATTGTTCTATCTTGTGTTGTTAATCTAACATATAAAAAAATATTGAAATATTAAATTATGTACACTTCATGTAATATACTAAATCATAAATTTGCTTCCAAATAATCATAACTTAATTTAGGGCATTCAAAATTGTTATTAGTCACCGTTTCCAAAAAAAAATTACTAATCCAAACTAATTTTACTTACTTTATCCAGCCAACCAAACTTAGTATAGAATTAGAATACATTTTTTTGCAAAAAGGTGCAATGGTCATTTTATTTAAATTGATTTGAACATATGCATAGAGTCCACGGTTCTCATTTTTTCTATCCAAACCAAATTTTGGATTGGATAAAATTGATTGGATCCAGACTAGGTCGGATTACTTTGGATTGACATGGATGAGATTGGGAACAGTATCCAATCCAACTCAATTCTCCCACGGCAAGCCAAACACCCCCTTTAATACATGGTGAAATATAAGAAATCTGACTTTTAAGGGTGTAAAATAGGAATATTTAAATATCTTGGGGGTATAAGTCCATTTGTTTCCGCTGATGTTAATTNCTAGGTCGGATTACTTTGGATTGACATGGATGAGATTGGGATCAGTATCCAATCCAACTCAATCCTCCCACGGCAAGCCAAACACCCCCTTTAATACATGGTGAAATATAAGAAATCTGACTTTTAAGGGTGTAAAGTAGGAATATTTAAATATCTTGGGGGTATAAGTCCATTTGTTTCCGCTGATGTTAATTACTAATTACTAGTGCACCGAACAGAATTTCCAAACTTCTACGAAAAATGGGTTCGATAGACACACAGACGGGTACAGAGAACGGCTCAACCCCAATCCCAATTCCTGATGCCCAGCTCGCCGTCGGCGGCCACGGATCTGTGCTACCACCGGCGTCAGAATATGCCGGTACGAAGACGGAAAACGACGCATCTAGGAAGAGGAAAGCGAGTATGCTACCTCTCGAGGTCGGTACTCGCGTCATGTGCCGTTGGAGAGACGGAAAGTTTCATCCAGTAAAAGTCATCGAACGGCGCAAAGTGCAGTCGGGCGGTGCCAATGATTACGAGTACTACGTTCACTACACCGAGTGTAAGAATTTTTGTTAATCTCTCTTTTTTAATCCTCAATTTAGATACGGATAATTAGTGTTTTAGGTTTTCTTTTTTTCTTTTTACTTAAATGTGTGCTATTATGTCTGTTTGGATGCCTGGAAATAGAGGACGAACAACCGAAACTAATTTTGACTTGTGATGAATGAAAAGCTCGTGTTAATTAGGCCAAAAATTGTACTAGGGTCAATTGAGCTGGGGTTTGGTAATGTTATCTGCTGTTATTGTGTTTTTCATGTAATGAAGTTTGTTTTGCTTGTAATTTTCATAATTAACTGAAAAAGTTTGAAAATTTTGTGGTTGGGATTAAAGTTTTGCTACTTATTTTGGCTGTTATTGGTTATAAAATTGTTAATATTTTGACGGATGACAGAATAGTATTGGGGTTACTTTTGTTTACCTATAAGTAATGACTCGTTGAAGGATGAGGCTGTATATAAGATCACGTGCAGTTGGAAGTAGAGCTAATACAAGTTGTTTTGATGGATGAGATAGATTACATGAAAAAATTATTATGTAGGTTTAATGGAGGTTATCCTAGGTTATGTGTAAACTATGGCGCTATATCAAGAGAATTGAAATGACGATAGTAATAACATGGATATTAGGTGAAGAGGCAATGGATCAGGGACAAATCAAGCATTTTTCTTTTATGGGACCAAAGTTATTGCCAAACATTGGCCGTAAGTATTCATAAGATTGACCAATGTTTTGTTTAGTAAAACATATTATGTGACTAAATTATTTGTAGATGAATACCACGGATTGCAAGGGTGTTCTTAGTTTCAAATTAATATTGAACCTCCTTAGTTGGAGATACGTTGGTAGTATATCTCAAAAAAAAATAAAAAAGAAAAAGAAAAGATGTCGCTTCATCCATGGCGTCTGTCATCAAGTCTCCCTATTGACTGATAAATTTGAAGAATAAATTAGCTTCGAATTTAATATTTAGACATTCAACTGCCTCGGAGAGTGTCTCATTCTACGATACAAGAAATGTATAAAATGCAAAGGAAAATGTTGGATTTATCCATGCAATGGGGTATTACGGGGAGTATGGGGGAATTGGATAAACTTGAATTGAAAATTTTAAATTTATTATTTATTTTAGTATTATTATATTAATTAGGAAAGATGTGGTTTAATTAGGATTAATTTCATTATTTATTAGATTATTTAATTGGACAATATTTTTTTGACTAAGAGTGTTATGAGTTTGAGTTTGACTAGAGAACTATTATAGAGTTTTAGTATGATAAAATTTGAAAGTTTAATTATGAAATTATTTTAGAATTTTAGTATGATAGTAGTTTTGATTTTGGTAGGAGACGTAGCCTGTAAATATCAATGTAATCTCCACCATTATGATTGTAGAGTGTGTTATTAATAAATTGTTCTCACCTAATTCTTGCGAGGGTTTGATATCTCTTCTTTTATTCTCTTGTTTCTTCCTTTTTCATCCTTCATTGGTATGCAACCAAAAACATCTGATGGGCGAAATAATAATTATATAGGTTGAATACTATAAAAGGAAAATATAATACACATTGGATCATGGAATTGGATGAAAGACTGATATTATAGTTGTTATATTGGAATTTTATAGGAAAAAGCATTTGATAGAATGAATATAATATACTCGGGTTGTGAAGTTATGCAAAGGTAGTGGGCATAGTTATTAAATTGAAATTCGTATCGAGAATTGAAATCTCAAATTTGAGAACCGGGAATTATCGAAATGANGGATAGAATGAATATAATATACGCGGGTTGTGAAGTTATGCAAAGGTAGTGGGCATAGTTATTAAATCGAAATTCGTATCGAGAATTGAAATCTCAAATTTGAGAACCGGGAATTATCGAAATGATAATCATAAGATTTGACACAAAAATTAAACTATGGGAAAAAATAATATGTACATATTTAAAATAGATAAGATATTAAATATTGAACATTATTATATTAATATTAAACATTATTAATTTCATTATATATTAGATTATTTAATTAGACAATATTTGTTGGACTAGGAGTGTTAGAGTTTGAGTTTGATTTGAGAATTATTATAGAGTTTTAGTATGATAAAATTTGGGAGTTTGATTATGAAATTTTTTTAGAATTTTAGTAGGATAGTAGTTTTGATTTTGTTAGAAGATTTAGCCTATAAATATCGATATAATCTCCATCATTTTTATTGTAGTGTGTTATTAATAAATTTTTCTACGTGGAGAATTTTTTGTGTTTCTTGACCTAATCCTTGCAAGGGTTTGATATTTCTTCTTCTTTCGTATTCTCTTATTTCTTCCTCTTCTATCCTTCATGGGTATGCAACCGAAAACATCTTATGGGCAAAATGCTAATCATATAGGTTGAATACTATAAAGGGAATGTGTAATACATATTGGATCATGGAATTGGATGAAAGACCAATATTGTAGTTATATTTGAATTTTGTAAGAAAAAGTATTGGATAGAATGGATATAATAGACACAGTGTTGAAGTTATGCAAAGGTACTAGTGGGGGCTGATAGAGGTGAAAAAATTAACAAGAAATGATAGTCATTCCTAAAACCTTTGTGATGGTGTGATGTATACAAGATACACAGTAAAGCAATGACCATAACAAAGTTGGGTAAAGATTTAGAAATATAAAAATATATGGAGATTCTCTTCGTCCGCAATTGTGTATTATGGGCAGAAAGAGTGAGTAAACTCTTAACCATCAAATCCTTCATTCTCGTGTTGGATCAACATTATGGAGTAGAATACGGTTGTTGGAGGAGGTGGATTGGATATCTCCATTTTCTTTTGATGCTGTGCTTGTGATTGAGTTTAAGTTTTTTTGGGGGGAAAATAAAAAGGCCGTTCTCTTTGGAGACGTGGTGCAGACAATCTTTTAGGTGGAATCATTAGAAAGGGATGCAAGAATTTTTTAAGACAAGGTGGAAGATGAGAATGGTTTGTAGGAAATAATTTGTTTTTGGCTTTCGTTTTGGGTTTCTGTATCTCCTAAATTTGTGGGAAAGCAATGCATATGCTTGTTCTTATCTCAACATGCAAAAAAACAAAGTTGATGGATACTTTTATTTTTCAACCTTTGGTTCCACATTTTGAAATTCCAATATAAATGCTTGCCTTTTCGCAGTTGCTAAATTTTTGTTTTTCTGGTATGCCTGTGGTCTGAGTTGTACATATGATACTAGTTGAAATAGCCTAGTAGTACTGATGAATTTGTTGTTGTTTTTTTACTTTAACCCTCAACTCTTCATCTTTGCCAAGTTTGTGTTCGTTATTTTGACAGTCAATAGGAGGCTTGATGAATGGGTTAAACTTGAACAACTTGATCTCAATTCAGTGGAGACTGTTGTAGATGAAAAGGTGGAGGACAAGGTAATTTTTGTGCTTATGTACTTTTTTTTATCTTCTGAAGGTCTCAATTATCTCAGTAGCAATGTGTTCTGTCTATATTGATGAATATAGTTTCTTATGTATTCTACTCTGCCATGTTCTCAGTTTACCTGAGGTGTTAGGGGTTGTTTTTGGATGGCTTTCCCTCATCTTGTAGATAGTGCTAATAAAAATTCTGCTGGTTTAGTTTCCCATTTAAGTTTGCTTTCCTTCTAACTTATACATTGTTTTTTCCATTATTCATGTAACAAGCGCAATTCTTTGCACATGCTGACTGGAATGGTTTTCTGACGAGGTTCTAGGTGACAAGCTTGAAAATGACACGCCACCAGAAACGTAAGATAGACGAGACACATGTAGAGGTATGTAATAATGAGTTATATTTATAATTGCTTCATAGATCTTCATCCTCCCGTTATCATTGTTGCTATTCTGATTAACAGCAGCAGAACTACCATATTTACCATTAGTATTGATTTTGTTGTTGTGATGTATAGGAATGTAATTGATTTTAATACTACGTAATTTTGGTACTTTGTTTTCTTGTTATTAATGGTTAGTTGAAGAGTAGTAGTATGTTATTTAGTTCAAAGTTGTAAGACAATCCCAAAAGGAAGCGGATATAAAACAGCTATCAAAATGCTGGAGATCACCACTTGAAAATTATATTATTTCTCAATAGCATTATCAAGTTGGTTTGTTTCCCTTGCACAAAAAATCTGGGCAACATTCCACATGCAAAAACTGCAGGTATCGATTCTGGGACCAACAAATCTTTAGTAATTTGAGAAATATTTTTGACCTTTTATAAATAGTTTCAACTTTTGAATGAATCACATGTTTAATTTATATCATTTATCAGACAGGAATGAGGTTAATCTACATTGATCAAGTAATTAAAGCTAAAATTGTTTGGGTGTTGACTCCTTCAGAATTTAGCCTTTGAGATAATTTATCTTCTATTTGTTTAAACATTTTGTAAGAGTTGCCTATCAAACTCTAATAGAATGAATTGGTATATGAATTTGTCACTATTGCNCTCCTTCAGAATTCAGCCTTTGAGATAATTTATCTTCTATTTTTTTAAACATTTTGTAAGAGTTGCCTATCAAACTCTAATAGAATGAATTGGTATATGANTGACTCCTTCAGAATTTAGCCTTTGAGATAATTTATCTTCTATTTGTTTAAACATTTTGTAAGAGTTGCCTATCAAACTCTAATAGAATGAATTGGTATATGAATTTGTCACTATTGCATAAATTATACACGTGATCGGGTATGGTAGATTGCATATGAGATATAGGTCATTTCTTTTGGCTTCTTACGGATTCCTGTGACCAAGAGTTTGACTATATTCCTCTTTTTTGTACGACTAGTTGGTGTACAACCTACTTTGTGAGTGGACTATTTTTAGACATAGGCGGAGTTGTTATTTTTACCCATATTACCTCTACATTGATGGGTCACATGTGTATGTATTACTAATATATATCTGGGCTGATTAATATACATTACTTGTATCTTGATTAATAAATGCCTTAAACCTCTGTTTATATAGGGATGCCTTCCAGTTTTACAAGAAGAAGATGATTGGAAAGTTTGCATTAGAGCCAATCGAAGTCAAATAGGAACCTACATGCACCTAATAACCTATGGATATGCAACCTCCAAAAAAACTAACCTATGCTTTGGAGACCCGATTCTAATCAATACCAATTGGAAAGGAGTTTTGTTTTTAGCTGTACTATTTATAGAAAAGTAGGAGAGTCCAAAAGGATTTGGGTCCAATGAAAGAAGTGGATATACTAGTTAGATTGGACGTGTATGGATTAAATATTTTTCCAGTGTGCTAATATAAATAATATAGATATAGATTTAGATCAGATGTCATTGTGTGGATTGTATTTATTTTCTTCCTTATTTTGATATGAGGATCATTGGTGGAATGTCTTGTCCTCCATAGTATCCTGAAATTTTACTTTTTATTCTTTTCTTCTAATAAAATGTTGTCGCTTATTAAAAAATAGACATAGTGTGATTGGGTTTGATGTCAGATTTTTACACCCACCACCTGCTTATTAGAAACCCGGAAAAGGAAAGTCTTTTTTGCGTGCTTCTCGCATGCTTCACCATTTAGAATTAAAGAATAGATAATGTCAACTGGGCCTATGGTCTGTTTGGCATGAGAGATGCACAGCTGGAAATAAAGATAGGAGGGATTGAAAAGTCATTGTTAGGAGTACAGATTCTTAATAATAAAAGCTAGTGATCGCTTATTTATATTACCAAAAAAAGTGAAACAAAAAAAATGAAAAATATAATTTCAAAGATCATGAAATAAATAAATAACCAACATTTTTTTTTTTTGCTTCTTTTCTTTTATACTATTTGTTTGAATGTGTCTTAGATTTCACTGAAAACAGTTAAACACATTCTTTCAATTAGGGCCATGAGGAGCTTGATGCTGCCAGCTTGCGTGAACATGAAGAATTTACAAAAGTGAAAAATATAGCAACCATAGAACTTGGAAGATATGAGATTGAGACGTGGTACTTCTCCCCCTTTCCACCAGAGTACAATGACTGTTTGAAGCTGTACTTCTGTGAGTTCTGCCTCAATTTCATGAAGCGGAAAGAACAGCTTCAGAGGCATATGGTGAATTTTTCCTCAAATTCTCGTAATTCGCATTGCTTTGTGAAATTTAGATTGTGGCATAGCATATTAATGAAAGTGTGTTTCCTATAAGACAAAAAAGATTGTGGGATGGCATGCTTGTGGGAGGGAGAAATCAGAATGCTTACTTGCTCTAAAGTAATCGTATCCATTAGCAAGTTTCTAGTGCCTGACTCTTACCGCCACCTGCCTTATCTGATGCATATATTGCTAACTGCAAGTCATTTATGGATCTATACATCTATCAGTTCTTATGTTAAGACTGTTATTGGACCTGGGAAAATGTGAACCTGGGGTTCCCAATCTATCCAAATCAAACAGGTGGTGTTTGGAAATTTTACTAAGATGGGTTTGTTTTTGGATCGTTGTGATGAGTTTGGGGTTTAGATATTTTGGCCTTGACTACCTTAAACCGTTATAGTCGACAATATTCATTATTTTGTACATTTTGTTGCAAAAGAGTTGGTTTCAAATTGATCTTATGATCAGTGGTGTTCCGTCTTCCCAGCTCATATGAAGAATTTTTTTATTTTTGGTCCAAATATTACCCATTTCTGCTCTACTAACTTTAAGTAGGCTTCACATATACGGTATTTTGATAGGTATGCCTAAGCCATGTCATAAAGAGTATTCTTCTATGCCTCTGGTGTGGAAAGAACTTGAATTTCATGACAGATATTGTATTAGATGTTTTGAGAGAGATTTTCAATGGCGATTAGGGGATAGGGGTATTGTGTAATTCACAAGGAAAATTCATTCTGTCTGCCATGGGCCCATGACGAAGTTGAGGCCTGGGCTGAATGGACTGTAATAGCAATATCATCTTGGTTGGATTCTGTCTGTTTATGCCTGGCAGTTACTTTGTCATATGTTTGAAACTTCTATTGTCTTGTGGGCTAGAGTAGTTTTCCTGAGAATCTTGTGACAATAGTGTTACAAAAGGGCAAGGACCTTTTATTGACTTGATGCAATGTCTGTCTGTCAGTTCACAATTGAATTATTTTTTATTTAACATTTTCACAGTTGTTAATCATATACCCATGTCGGCAATTGAAATTTGTACTCTCTTCATCATAAGTAGTCCTTATGCAATATTATTTATAGAACTTTTGAGAAATGAAATATGTTCATTTAAGATTTGAATGTTTGTTACAGCAACAATTAGTTGAAGCATTCCTATTGGATTGTCAAGGGGATGTACTTCTAACACTTCAATTGGGTATGAATAAGATTTCTTTTACCAAAATGATTCAATATTGGGCCTGTTTGGAAGTGGTCTCTTTTTAGGTGAAAAGCTGCGGTTTGAAAAGTTTATCAAAAAAATCAGAGTTAAAAAAGCCCCAAAAAACCGTTTAGGGTGTTATTTAAAAAGTTGAAAAAGTCCATTTGGAATGACTTTTTAGCCTTTTTTTGGTTTTTTCTGTGTCAAAATAAAAAAATAATTATATGTATGTATAGATTATGCATAATAGTTCTCAAAATATTAATTTCAATTTTTTTTATGCGACTAATATTATTTTATGAATATAATTGTGAACATTAAAAAATTAAAAAATAAAATAATATTTATTAGTGGGCTCAAATTTAATGAGTTTCTAAATTAAATTGTTATGGACCTAATTTTCATAAGGCCAANTTTTTATGCGACTAATATTATTTTATGAATATAATTGTAAACATTAAAAAATTAAAAAATAAAATAATATTTATTAGTGGGTTCAAATTTAATGAGTTTCTAAATTAAATTGTTATGGACCTAATTTTCATAAGGCCAAATAAGACAAGCCTAAATCTAATTAAACTGGCTTGAGTTGGACCTAAATTCTACTGCCCAAATAATACCAGCCTAAATGTAATTAGCCATACTTGTTAAATTAAATTAAAATAAACTTAAATTCTATAAGCTCAAATTAAACAAACTTTTGAAGGTAAATTGGTTGGGCTTAAATTAATTAAAACCTAAAAATGGGTAGCCCACTCCCTATGTCCATATAAAGGTATTCAGGTAAAATACCTTTACATGGATAACTACTCCTAACACTATAAATAGAGATCTAGGGGAGGCCAAAGGGGATAAGGAATAAAAAAAAAAAAGGAGCTAAGGAAAAAGGCCAAGAGGAGGGAATATCAAGAAGTTTTGTCCGAGACCATCTAAAGAGGAGAAGAAAATATAAGCAGCGAAGCTTTGCCGAAGCCTACCCCCANAAAAAAAAAAAAAAGGAGCTAAGGGAAAAGGCCAAGAGGAGGGAATATCAAGAAGTTTTGTCCGAGTCCATCTAAAGAGGAGAAGAAAATATAAGCAGCGAAGCTTTGCCGAAGCCTACCCCCAATCGAAGACTTTCAAATCAATCTCTGAGGAGAAGATCACATCGCCAAGGTCCTTGTTCAAGAGATTCAAATCATCTTCAAGCCATCCAACATAAAGAACGGTAAGAAAATTCAACAAGTCTACCAAATCAAAGATCGAAGAACGAGAATCACGTAAGTCCGATCATCGTCTTCAACAAATCTATCAAAGTATCATCAAATCGAAGATTGAGGAACACGCTGATCAAGCCTTTATCTTCACCAAATTTACCAAAGTCAGTCCTAAATCAAAGATCGAGAAACACACCGGTCTGGCTCTTGTNTCGAAGAACGAGAATCACGTAAGTCCGATCATCGTCTTCAACAAATCTATCAAAGTATCACCAAATCGAAGATTGAGGAACACGCTGATCAAGCCTTTATCTTCACCAAATTTACCAAAGTCAGTCCTAAATCAAAGATCGAGAAACACACTGGTCTGGCTCTTGTTATCATCAAATCCATCGAGAATCAGAGGATAGTACACGTGAGAAGTACACCGAAAAAAGTCAACACCACTTTTCTATTCAAATCAACAATTGTAATTTTGACATTATTTTTGTGTTTATATTACACATGTAATTTGTCGTTACAATAATAAATTAAAAATTTACNTGGTCTGGCTCTTGTTATCATCAAATCCATCGAGAATCAGAGGATAGTATACGTGAGAAGTACACCGAAAAAAGTCAACACCACTTTTCTATTCAAATCAACAATTGTAATTTTGACATTATTTTTGTGTTTATATTACACATGTAATTTGTCGTTACAATAATAAATTAAAAATTTACGTGGGACTCGCGAGAAAACATGGTTCAAAGTATCGTCCGAGTAAACTCGGCCGAGTCGTATCCGTCTCAGCAGTTGCCGATCCAATAACGATACACGGTACATCAATATAATGAGATTCAATTGAATCAATCCTGACTCGGTTACAATTCGATGGTATCGACTCAACTCGGAGTTAAATCGGTTAGACTCGGTCAAATCAAACCGAGTCTGACTGTTATGGTGCAATCAATTTTGGAAAATCTGGGTAGCAAAAACCCAAGAAAAAATAGAGCNAGAGTTAAATCGGTTAGACTCGGTCAAATCAAACCGAGTCAGACCGCTATGGTGCAATCAATTTTGGAAAATCTGGGTAGCAAAAACCCAAGAAAAAATAGAGCAAGGAAGAAGAAATTGGGTGAGACTCACAGTGAGTCGACTCCAACTCGGCACAACTTGGTTGATTTGCATAGAATAGACCGCCAATATTGAGGAAATTCAAAAACAAATGAAGAGATGAGGTGTAAAAGACCCAAAAAATCGAAGAATCACCTTGATCAGAAGACCTCTTCTTCTTCTTCTTCTTCTTTCGGTGAAGACCCATAGCAGAAATCCTAAGTTTACAGATCAAAAAATCTTCAATCGTTCCTTACTGTTCGCTTCTTTCGGTAGAGATCCATAGGAGAAACTCTTCTTCTTCTTCTCTCGCTCTTTCCTTCACTGTTCGCTTCTCGATCGCTCTTTCTCTCTCTCTCTCTCTCGTGATCGAGAGGCAAGAAGAAGACACAAACCACAGTGTTTATATTTTTTATGGGCCACACCCTTTCCTTTGTTTTTTGTCTTTACACGTGTGTTTATATTTTATTGACCCCTTACTCCAAAAATCTCTAATTCAATTAGTAAATTATTGGAAAAAATAATTAGAAGAAAAAATAAAATTAAATTAGAACAATGACTCATTAATCTAGTAATCGAACACAAAATTATTCATGTAAAGTATTGAGATCTACTTGTACTTGTCAAATTTATAATTTATGGATACATATTTATTGTTCTTATTTTTATTTTTATTTTTTTTAAAATTAGGTACTAGTAAGTTAAAAAAAACTCTAATAACATATGTTTAAAGTTTAGTGTGTTTTTAAATAAAAACATTCATCTTAAATGATGGTAAATTTTTTCGGTAAAGTCCTTATAATTCATTTTTATTATGTTTAATATGTTAAACAATGTATTTTTGGGATATAATGCATATGATATTTACATATTTTTAAAATTTTTCATGATTTTTTTATATTTTTTTGGGTCTTCTATGTAGCATTTTGAGCGTATCGGTCAATACCACGCCGCGACACCGCGACCGATGTGTCTCAGTGCCCTCCGAGTCGATGGCCGATACCGCGACTTTGAACCATGCGACAATACTCTAAAAAATCGAAAGAAAAGCCCATAAAATCAGCTTCTTGATTCCGCCAAACTAAATCTTTTTGAGTCCAAAAAGTTGTTGCATAAACTGGTCCAAAAGCTCAAGTTCAAACGACCTTGACTTATTTTACTCCAAATCCTATGAAATCAACCTATTTCAGCTCCCCAAATAGGCCTATTATTGTATTTGGTTTATCAAATTGAAAAATGAGCATTTCATTAGTAGAAAATGCCATGATAGACTTCCTCGATGATTCACCTCATGTGATTTTTCAGATTCAAACATGTGGTGTTGATTAATTACTACACAGATTTAATAGAAGATAAAGCTTTCACATACCCATTTTTTGAAGTCTCCTTCAATGGAAGCATGCAAGGCTTGAAAAGCTTTAGGATACTAAGAATGAAGATCCTTAAGAGTTGATTTTGTGGTAGNTTGTTGATTAATTACTACACAGATTTAATAGAAGATAAAGCTTTCACATACCCATTTTTTGAAGTCTCCTTCAGTGGAAGCATGCAAGGCTTGAAAAGCTTTAGGATACTAAGAATGAAGATCCTTAAGAGTTGATTTTGTGGTAGAATTGATAGTGGTTGACAACAAATATGAGAAAAGCCAATTTCAATATAAATTTACAGAAGTGAGCTTACTATTTGAAAGTTTTGATCAACAGTGAGCATTGGGTTCCATAACTCCTAGAACCATATTATGGTGAGCGCTAAAACTGAATTCTAAATATCAAAATGAACTGTTCCAACTGGTATTTAATTGAAGGCATTTGGCATCTTATTGTAATCAAAATTTTGTCACTTAGTCACTAGGGTGTTAATCAAGCAAATCGTTTTGATCTTGACTATACTCCGGCTTGGCTCGAGCTATTCAAGGCATGCTCAAAGTTGGGCTGGGGCTTGATGTTCAAGCTTAGCTTGAACCTAGCTGGAGCCAAGCTCAAGCCAAAAGCGAGTCGCTTAGGAAAAATTCTAAATCCACAATTTTCAATTATGCAATCCAAAAATGCCACATAAATTGAGGAGATGGTGATTCATTTTGTGTTTGGATTGGGAAGGCAATGCTAGTGGTTATACAAAATAGTGGAAGGAGCGAGAAAAAGAAGGGATGATAGTGTGTAAAAGAAAGAAAGACAATGGAATGAGGAGCAAGAGACAAGAGGGATGACACTATGTGTGTGTGTGAGAAAGAGAGAGAGAGAGAGAGACACTAACCCCAAGGGGTAGTCCAGTGGAGATAAACATATGCTGTAAACCTAGACATCCTGTGTTTGAAACTTGACAGCTCCTTTGGATTTATCCCTCATGAAGTTCTTAGTCCTAATATGGATGATCTGTTTTTGACCAGAACGAGGAGGGGATTAGTCAAGATGCTCTTAAGTTGGGCCGGACAACCTCGATCGTAATACCAAAAAACAAAGAAAAGAAAAGTGGGACACTGGACTGTGGCATACATAGGTCCTTGTGATGGAATGGTTTGAATTTTGAAATGGTTTATATGTTTGTGAACTTGCTAAATATCCTTAAGATTACTATCAATTTACAAGTACATTTTGTATAAGTGGAAAAAACGAGCTAGCAAGCAAATAGCTTAGTTCAACTTGGGTTTGGTTCAAATGCTAAACGAGCCTAAAAAGTTGTTCAGATTTGGCTCATATTACGAAACGAACAATTGGAACGATCTAAAAACGAGCCAAGCTTGAGTAATTCAATTTGTTTAACAGCCATATGAGTCATTGAGTCTTAAAGCTGACTTAGATTAAAATTAGGGCTCTAGCTGGAGCTGAATGACCGAAGTATTCATGTTCTAACCCATAATAGTTAGTGTAAGACTTTGTTGAGTTGAGTTGATTGAGCGTTGTATTTGCTATGCATTACAAAATTAATGATGTTAAATTGCTTTGTACGAACGACCTGTCCAGCAAGGATTGACTGACCAGCACGAATGAAATATGAATTCTCATAAGGTAACCTTGCTTGCTTCCTTGAAACTAGTGTGGTCATGTTGAGGGATGCTTGTTTTAGCTCATTTGCATAGTGGCTATATGTGTGTTTTTGCATGCTTGTAAACCTATATTTACACTCACATCTATACATCAGAGTTGTTTGCTTGTTTAAGACTTTATCTATTTTCCCAATTGAAGTTCAAAATGCAGTTTTCAGACAGTCTGAATAAAATAATTCAATCGATTGGAATTCTCATTGGCTAGAGGATATTTAATAAGAGTGAAATATATTGTTATTTTTTATAATTTTTTTCTCTGTGTTCACAGAATTTAGCTTTTGGATATAGAAATCTAAGAAATTTAATTTTGCTGCATTTATGGAAGTTCTTCTTCCTTTATACCTTGGATTTCATTTTAAAGATGTTCATTTGTTTTTCTATTGTTACTGTTTGTGTTTTTTTGTAAGTTTTTTTCTATGAGGGAATTTCGCTAAAGTAGGTAAGGAGCATTTTTTTGGAGCATTTTCTGATTTGGATTTTATGCTTGCAGAAAAAATGCGATCTTAAGCACCCCCCTGGTGATGAAATATATCGGAGTGGTACCCTGTCAATGTTTGAGGTATCTTATCAGAATTTTCTTTTCATTTTTATTTTATTTTATTTTATTTCTCTTTTTATAATTCTTGAGGGCTTGTGTTTGTCTATACCATGATTACATATTCTAAGTAGTTATTTTAGTGAACAAATTCTGAGATTTTGCAAGTTATGTTGTTAAGTATAATGGAACTTCCAAACTTACATTTAGGTTGCTGGTTTGTTTTTGCTAATGTAAGTACTAAGAATACTTCCTCTCGATTTTCCTGAATTTTAATGTTGCGAGACAGGTTGATGGCAAAAAGAACAAGGTTTATGGACAAAATCTTTGCTATCTCGCAAAATTGTTCCTTGATCACAAGACCCTCTATTATGATGTTGACTTGTTTCTGTTTTACGTGCTCTGTGAATGCGATGATCGAGGATGCCACATGGTTGGATACTTTTCCAAGGTAATTGTTGTAGAACTAGACTGCCATTTGCAATTCTGTTACCACTCTTCTAGTTGTCCTGCCAGAGTTTTAGCACTATCTTTTTGTTAAGAAAACCTTTTGGGATATTCATAGTTGCTGTTTGACAGCAGTTGCCATGCTGTTATGCTATGAATGATTAGGCTGGCTACTGGTCAATTCAATTAGCTGCTTTTTATGTGTTTCCTAGCAGTTTATAAATATTTGTAGATTACCGAATTAGCCCCTAAACATGCCACTTGTTTCAATTAAGGCCTTAACTTTGATTTGACTCAATTAAGTCCTCAAACTTCTGAATTTACTTCAATGTACCCCTTCTGTCCAGTTTTGTAAGATTTTGTAACGGAATGGGCACACGGNCTTTCTGATCTAGGACTGTTAAGCTACCGGGGATACTGGACCCGTGTTCTTTTAGATATTTTGAAGAAGCACAAGGGCAATATCTCTATCAAGGTTTGTCTTTGGATGTTGGGTATCCACGTTTTACATTTGGTTGAACTATTCATTGTACATCTATATTGTTTGTTGTATCAGTTATAGGCATTAATAATCCTGTTGAATGGCGTCATCACCACAATGCCTGCATGGTTAGCCAATTTGACAGCAAGCGAGGGAATGAACATAGAAATCCTGTTGAACAGCGTCATCACCACAATGCCTTCATGGTTAGCCAATTTGATAGCAAGCAAGGGAATGAACATAGAAATCCTTTGTTTGACTCCTTATCTGGAGAAGCTTGATACACAGGGTTTCGGGCTGACTCTTATATTTGAAGGGGAAAGAGGGGGGGTGATGTTGCCTTTGAAGGGGGAAGGGATACTCTATGACATGACCATACTCCCCATCCTCTCCCCTCTCGGCCCTCTCTTTCTCACTGTAGAGGTCTGCGTTACATCTTGAAAAGAACAAAAACCAAGTTGGAGCATGTGAATGGAAATACTTAAGTAATGTCTTACTCTATTAAAAGGGCAGCTAATGTGGAAAAAAGTGAACGATTTTGGGGTGGATGCCAAATTCGTGATTGATTCCCCCACCTTTCCTTCATAGGCCCGTTACGATTGTTTTTGTTACCATTCTGTTTCTTAACTGGTTTCTGGTGGTGGCTTGCCACAGGAGCTAAGTGATATGACGGCTATTAAGGCAGAGGATATCTTGGCCACCCTTCAGAGCTTGGAATTGATCCAGTATCGAAAGGGGCAACATGTCATATGTGCAGATCCCAAGGTATTGGATCGTCATCTTAAAGCAGCCGGCCGAGGTGGTCTTGAGGTTGATGTTACCAAATTGATATGGACTCCTTATAAAGAGCAAAATTGATGCATGGCATTGCTGTCAACCTTGACCTTTGGCCTAACCTTCATGTACAAATTAAATTTTTAGGGTATTAAACCTTGTGAACGTTGGATCTCCCAGGTGTTAGCTCTTTGATGCCTTTTTTGTAAGTTGGTATAGATGTATTTAAGAAAGTCTAATCAGCAAATCTGTGTTCTGACATGTATAATAGGATAGTTTGATGTATTTTGATATGTATGTTATTTATCTATTAGTTATAACCCACGCTTGAAGTTATGATGACTCATAAAATTTGAGTGTCTAAAAAAATCTATCCTATTATATAAAAGTTAAATAAAATTAAAAATTAAAAATATTTTTTTCATCTTATCAAGTACAAAAAAAATTAATAATTCTTATTTTTCATCCCTCTTATTAAATACAAAGGTACTAATGGATTTTTAGTCCAATAATACTCTTTACTTTGTAAAAATTTTGTCTTCTTTAGATCAAGGGTTTAAGTTTTTCTCCTCCATCTCTCCCTTTTCCCTCCCAAAAAAAAAGAGGAAACGAAGGAACATAAGGGGTTGAAGGATTCTTCCGTTGAAGGATGAAAAGTATATCACTCTTATTCTCTATTCTTTCATTTTTTTAACCCACCCTATCAAATGTACCAAAGAGTTGAGAACACTTATACTTTGTTTGATATGATTGCAAAATGGAACGATAAAAAGTTTGAGGGATAAATAAAATATCATGTTTGGTAAGAAAGAAAATAGAAAAGATGAAAAAGTTGATGCATTAACTTTCTTTCTAACTTATTAAAATAAATTCTTCCAAAATTAAGAGAAAAAGTTGATGAAAAGTTAATTATGTGTGTTGAAATATGCTATTTATTTATATATTATTTGATACATACATATATCATATTTATTAATTATATATTATGTATACATTAATTTCATATATAGATACAATGGTAAAATATGTATTTATATTTTTTTTAATAAAAATTTTAAAAAATTAAAATTAAAGTAAAAAAATAAAAAAAATGTTTTTTCTATCTTATGGAACACACAGAGTAAAAAAAAAGTCAATCCTTCATACTTTCAATTTTTTTTATCAAACACAAAGGAGAGAATGAAAAATTTATCCTTCAAATGATGAAAAGTACATCACTCATATTTCTTATCCTTCTATTTTTTCATTCACCCTACCAAAAAGACCATTAATCCTAATAATTTATCTGTTGCTATAATGAGTAAATATTTGTAATTTTAAGGTAGGCTGTTCATCGATCTTAGAGTATTTGTCTATGTGATTAAACACCAAAACAACTCCCACACAACAGGGGGAGTTGGTAATGAGCTGACTGCTTCAAATTGCTTGGTTTGTTGGATGAGTTGCTGTTTAGGTCAATGTAGTACAGCCATAATTTTAAATAGTGGTTTTGTTTTGTGCTCAAAAAACGTTACTTGAATTTAATTTATTAATTTAATATATTGTTATCGTTTGATTGGTATTGATTTCATTTGATATTGAGATTTATTATAAATTAAATAGCGGTTAGCAAATTATGTCCACAAACCCAATATATTCCGCATTTTAAAGTCACTATATAATTAATTTGTTGCTGCAACACCACTAGTTTAAAATTTGAGTTGGGACGACAGGGCTCTAGTAATAGCCTTTTATTGTAATAAAGATTGCCATTGAAGGGACTTGGTAGCTGTGAATATTGTTATCTATGGCTTAGGAAGGGCTTTTCTTACTCATGTTCTTGTACAATTTCGTTCATATGAACTAGAAATGCAACTCACTTGTTTTGCTGTACATGTCTCGCTCATTCACCTCGAAACCGGACCTATCATAATTTTTGATATCAATTCTAGTGGATTTATTATTTTCATTTCTGTTATAACTATGAGTCCAAAGGGTGTAATTTCATTGTCAAGTTTGATTGCTCTTCATTTCATTTATTGTTGTCGAGGTTGAACTGAGAAAATCTATATAATAAAGTACAATACAATTCAAATCTCAAAAGATGAACAAAATTACTTTTGTTTTTCGCGGTTGAAATCTTTTTAAATTTTACTTTAAAGTTAATCAGATAACTAATATCAACATCCCAAATTTAATAGGAAAAATAGGCCCTAATATTCCATTTGGGATGATGAAAAAATAGAAGGATAAAAAGTGAGAAGGATGGAAAGTTGGAGGGATATATAAAACATCATGTGTTAGTAAGGAAGGAAAATAAGAAAAATGTAAAAGTGAATAGATTAACTTTCCTTCCAATTCACCAAAATCAATCCATCTAAAATCGGAAGGAAAGTAGATAAAAAACTAATTATTTTGTGTTGAGATGTATCTTATTTGTCTATATATTATGTATACATTAATTTCATATAAAAATATAATGATAAATTATATATATTTTTAAAAAAAATTAAAAATCAAAAAATTAAAATTAAAATTTTAAATTAAAAAAATATGTTTTTCTATCTTAACTAGGGGTAAAAATTTTCGACTCAACACAGTGACATGACTCAAACTCGACATGAATTTTATGACACGAATTTGAAAAAGACCTCACACGGGAACAAGAAATATAAAAGGATCATAATTTTATGACTCAACAAGAATCTGACACAATATGACTCAATTATCACCCCTAATTTTAGCCAGCACAAAAAAAATAAAAATAAAATTAGTCATTTTTATTTTTCATCTATCCAACCAAACACAAAGGAAGGAATATGTATCATTCCTATTTTCTATTCTTGAAGGATAAAAAGTGTATTCCTCCTACTTTCCATCCTTCGTACCAAACGTAGTATAAGTGTGTATTTGGGGGTGACTTTTTAAAAGTGATACTAGTACTTATAACTTCTCATAAGTATTTTTTTTTAAAAAAATTGTTTAAAATTGCTTCACCACCATCACCACTACCACCACCGCCCCTCCACCACCTCTAACACAACAACAACAACAACAACAACAACCACCCCCACCACCACTCCCACCCCCACC